AAAAAAAAAAAATATGTATGTAAATATATATTTACTAATTTTGATTGAAAAAAAAAAAAAAAAGAAGAGTTACATAAATGTATTTTTCAAAGCCCTTTAATTAGAAAGACCTATTGAATTACCACTGTTGTGAAAACGGAAAGGGTTGGGAAACACACGTGAACAGACATATGCATGCATATATGAATATGTAAGGTATATATTAATAAAATATAGTGTGTTTTATCATAGTAAATATTTTTTTGATCTATTATAGCAAGAGATTAGACAAGAGAATCGTGTTGACAAGCTTTTCTGAATCGTTTTTAATTAATTATAGTTATATATATATATATATAGGTGCATAAAACTACAAAGATGTGATATGTGTAAAAATATTACTATAAAATTGGGACATATATTTACATTTACTTTGAGGCATGGGCTATCATATTCAGATAATAGTCCTATAGTATAATATTTAAAGTTCAGAAAAGAAAAAATTATTCTCATAAAATAAATATCGAAAAATTGTAATGATTTATGAAAAAAATAAATACATACAAAATAAGGTAACCTAGATTGAATTTTTTTTTTCTTTTTTTAAATAATATACTATATAACATGTACTGAAAAGGCATATGTGTGTACATAGAAGAGAACTTTCTTAATCATACATATGTAAATAGAGGGAAAAAAAAAAAAAGAAAAATATTATTTTTTAAATAAAATAAAAAATTTCTACATAAATAAGAAAACAGAGTTACAATAAAATGGTCATTAAAAAAAAAAAGAAGAAAAAAAACCTAATCACACTTTAACGCATACGTTTTCCTAGAAAAAACTTACGCAAAAATATAGATTTGAAAATGTAGTTAATTTTCTGCACGTTAAGTTACATATCATAGCAGCACTACGAACTTGGCTCAGTTAAAGATATTAACTGTATGTACATGTAAGCTTCTTGAAGGTGGAATTTTTTTATTATTATGATGTTTTTTTTTTTTTTTTAAAACATTAAAAATTTTTAAAAAAAAAAAA